AAAAAATAAAAATTATTATTTTTAATTTAAAATTTCATATTTAAAAAAAAAGTATTGTAACTATTATTTAATTATTAATGCTTATCTGTGTCCTAAGGCAGAGGATAAGACAAACCTTATGTAAACGGTTCCTCAAATCCCAAGGACTCTCGGTAGCAAGGGGTATTCGTAGAGAGTCGGGAGCAAAACATGACAGTTTGGTTTCAACGTGTAATTGGGCACAAGTCATGCAATGCCTATGGAAATCTACAACATCTCCAAAGCTATGGAACTTACATGGTAAAAGAACTATAGCAATGCGATGGTGGAGTCTGATTCCTTCTTGTCAGTACAAAAGATCAACCATGATGCAACTTGTTTTGACCCATACGAAAGTTTAAACAACAAATGTCGAGCCTTCGTGTAGGAAAATTAGCATTGTAAATTTTGACATGGTTTTTGAGAAATCAGTATGTGCGAATATTATGATTTCATGATTCTTATTATTTGGCCATGAGTTTGGTATTATTTGTTGAATCACCTATAAATGTAACATAGGGAATGGCAAAATGACATCTTAAGTATTTATATGTGTGTGAAGCCTATATATTAATTTCTTATATATGTAAAAAAAATAATATATTAGAATATTTAGATTTCATTTAGTATAGTTGTAATTTTAAATTTTTTGTTTTGATTTAAAAAAATTTAGAAACCCAAAATAAAATTAAATATTTATATAAATTAATTAAGTTTAAAGTTTTGGATATTTATTTTAAAATTTTATACTCAATAAATTAGAATTTTTAATTTTTAATTTTAGTTTCTAATTGTTAAATTTGATTGTTTAAAGTTTGAAAACTAAAACTAAAAACTAAAAACAAGTACTATACTAAATTAAGAATTAGATTTGGATAACAACAAATATACTCCTCCTGCAGCTGCCATTTCTTCTTTACTATCTTTAAAACAAAATCCCTCAAACAAAATATATATTAAATCATATTTCATGGTGTGTTTATCTTTTTTTGAAAGATCTATCAATTGTTGTCTCTAACTAATATAATTAACATAGATGGTTCGTTAAATTTATTATTCAATCATTTTTTAATTCGATTGTTATTTTTTATACATGTAGTACGTTAAATAACATAAATTCTAAAATAAATGAATTAAAAAATAGTTTTTTTAAGTAAAGAGATCAAAAAGTAACTTTTTAAATTTCTTTTTAGTCTTTTTATTTAAAAATTTTTTCAACTAATGTGTTATATATATAAAAAAATGATGAAAGGATTAAACAAGGGCAAAAAAATAAAATAAAATAAAATTAGAGACTAAAAATAGACTAAGGGCCTGTTTGGTACAGCGGTTAAAATTCAGCGGATAGCGGGTAGTGGGTAGCGGATAGCGGTAGCGGGTAGCGGGTAGCGGGTAGCGGGTAGCGGGTAACGATTAGCGGATAGCGGATGGCGGATAGCGGAAAATGGGTAACGGATAATAAATAGCGGATTCGATAAATATAACTGTTTGATTATACAATGGTTAGCAGTTGTTACTTAACATTAAATGACTAATAAGGACATGTTTAAAAA